AAATGAACTAAAGCTAACCCCTTTTTTTGAAGGGGGGAGAAAAATTAATTTATGTTTTATTTTAAGGGTGTAACTGTTAGTTAATATTTAAAACCGTTATCACAATCTTTGAAAACTTAAACCAACATCATCATGATTGACTTTATCAACAAACTGGAATATCAACCTCATCTTTTGGTGGTTTCCTTTTCTTTTTCCTTAAAATTTATTAAGGTTAATGTTGCTTTTTAACAAAAAAAAAAAACTAACAAAACTGCAAGTGCTTTCAAAAATAATTTCCTTCAACACTTTGCTTTGGTCAAGAAAAGGGTCACTCACTGACAGTTGGTCTGGTCTGTTAGCTGGTCAACCAACCAGCCAGTTTGTCTTGTTTTACAATCGATTTTTAGTGCAGTTTCAGTTTACTTAAGGGCCAGTAATTAAAACCGCCTTCTTGTTTTACAGACCTAAAATAACACCACCAACAACAACAACAACAGCAGCAGCAACAAAAACAAATACTCTAAAACAAAAGCGGAAGTTGTTTATTGATTGTTTAAGTAAAATATTTTTAGGCTGGACAAAAGAAAAACAATAAATTAAACTGTTTCCCAAAAAAAAAAAAATTAGTTGCCTTAACAAATTTTTGGTTAGAGCAACTAAAGAATTTGGTTGGGACAACTAAATTTTTGGTTTTATATAAAATTTGCTTAAAACCTATAAAATAGTCTTAATAGTTTTGTTGTATATACAAATATTATGTTGCTACAACCAAAAAAATCTAAAGCTAATGTAAGCTTTAAAGCTTTTTAGGTGAAACCAGTTAAATTAAATAAAGAATTTGATTGAGGGAACTAAATACTTCATTTTATATTGAAATTAATTGGTAGCAATTAGTGTGTCTAAACAAAAGTTGTGTTCCTGCTAACAAAAAAAACCTTATAACGAAAGCTTTAAAGCTTTTCTAGCCAAAGTTATAGCTTTCCATATTCCTTTAAATCCTGTTAGTAAAATCGTCTTAATAGTTTTATTGTGTAAACAAATATTATGTTGCTTTAACCAAAAAAAAAGCTAATGCTAATAAAAGCTTTAAAGCTTTTCCTGTGAAATTTGTTAAATATAATAAAAATCTTGATTAGGTCAACTAAATATTTCATTTTATATGCAAATTAATAACAAGGTCGTAAAAATTTAGTTGTCTAAAGCAAAATTATGTTATTGCAACCATAAAACTCATAATAAAGCAAGCTTTAAAGCTTTTCTAGCCAAAGTTGAAGCTTTTTAAATTCCTTCAATTCCTATTAGTCAGCCTTAACGGTAATTGTTAAAAACAACTGAATCGTTAGTCCAGTAAAATAATTTTTTAAAAATTTCCTAATACATATTCTTTAATCTTCAGGGAAATGGTGTAATTTTATGTAAATATTTTATATTTAACTAAACTTTTGATCTGAAACAAAACAATGTTAAGGGCATGTTAATAATGTTTAATGTTTCAGTTAAAACAAAACATTATTTTTGTTGTTATTGTTGTTATTTTGTTTACCTTAATATTAGTCCTTGACTACAGTTTATGGCCTTTACAAAAAAAAAGGAAATTTTGTTAAGGAACTTCTGTCACCCATACCATTAAGTATATAAGGGTGTGTTTGGAAATATTTGTCCAATGTTTAAATGAACCTAAACTGTTGTACAGATTTAATTTATTGATATAAACCGAAAAAAAACAACAAATCATAAAATAAATATTTTTAACACCAAAGCGTGGCACCTTTGTGCGGAAAATTTAGAAACAAAGTACTTTAAGAATGTTAATAAAATTGAAGTAAATTAAGGCAAATGTATTAAATGTAACTTTTATTTTGAAATTTGTTTCTATTTCACCAAATTTCTTAATAGTTATCACTCATTTACACCATTTTACACAAGTTTTACATTATTTACACCTAAAAAATTAGTAGGAATGTCGAAATCTCAAGGTTAAAAGAGGTAAAATCAACTCTGAAAGCTCAAAGAATTCAAATACAACAATTTTTTCAACAAAAATTAAAGTTCAATTAATGTTTTACAATTGTTTACCTAAAGTTTACATGAGGTAAAATAGCATAATACAAAAACTAGGCTTTATAACATATTACTTTATGTAAATTTTAAGTAAATTATATAATTTTTTTAAAATTTGACTTAATTACCCAAAAATATACATTGTTTACATGATGTAATTAAAACCAGCTAAAGTTTACACAAGGTAAAATGCAAGAAAATATGAAATCGTCAAAAATATCAAGAAAATTTCATAAAATGGATAAAAATTTTAATTGTTTACATTAGGTAAGGTAAGGTAAACAATGTAAGTAAAGTAAAATAAAGATAAATTATGTAAAATAATAAGAAAATTGCAAATTTTTATATAATATAGCAAATATCTCAGAAATTGCTTTAAATTACACAAATTTACATTGTTTACATGATGTAAACTAAAAATAACTAAAGTTTACTTGAGGTAAAATATTAAAAAATAAGATTTTAAAAGAGATAATTGAACTTTTTTAGAAAAATTCACAAATCATGTAAAATTTTCATTGTTGACATCCATGTAAAGTTATGGTAAACAATGTAATTAATGTAAAAAATTAAGAAATTACCAAATGTTTAGATAACATATCAAATTGTATGAAAATTTCTACAAATTACACCAAATTTACATTGTTTACCTAGTGTAATTGACAAAATGTAAAGTTTACATTATGTAAAAAATTGTCCAAATTTTTTTCTTTTAATAAAATCTTTAAAATTTATAATAAATTTTATGAAAATGGAAAATTTTTAATTGTTTACATCCGTGTAAAATAAAGGTAAACAATGTAATTAATGTAAAAAATTAAGAAAATTCCAAATATTTAGATAACATATCAAAAAGTATGAAAATTTCTACAAATTACACCAAATTTACATTGTTTACCTAGTGTAATTGACAAAATGTAAAGTTTACTTTATGTAAAAAATTGTCCAAATCCATTTCACTCATAAAAAACTTTAAAATTTATAATAAATTTAATGAAAAGGGAAAATTTTAAATTTTTTACATCTATGTAAAATAAAGGTAAACAATGTAATTAATGTAAAAAATTAAGAAAATTCCAAATATTTAGATAACATACTAAAATATATTAATATTTCTACAAATTACACAAAATTTACATTGTTTACCTTGGTGTAATTAATGAAATGTAAAGTTGACATTATGTAAAAAATTGTGAAAATACATTTCTTTCCTCAAAATTATACAAAATTTTAATAAATTTTGCAAAAATAAACAAAAATTTCAATTGTTTACATCCAGGTAAAATAAAGGTAAACAATGTAAACTTTAACATAAACTCTACTTTTCAAGAATTTTTCTTTAATTTTATTAAAATCTTGAAGGTTTCATAACAAATTTGCAAAAAAATGCTAAAAATTTTGATTTTTTACCTCCATGTAAAATAAAGGTAAACAATGTAAAATTTAACAAAAATTCTACTTTTCAAGTAAATTTTAAAATTTTAAGAATTTTTCTAAGGATAACTAAATAAAAAGAGACATTATTTACTGAGGTAAACCTAAAAATGTTAAGTTTACATTAGGTAAACAATGTAAAATTTAACAAAAATTTAAATTATTCTACAAATATTTGGATTTTATAAATATAACCTTTAATTACCCCAAAATTTACATTGTTTACTTGGTAAAGTAAAGTTTACCTTATGTAAAATGTAGAAAATTACATTTGTTTTAACAAAACCATTTAAATTTCTTAAAAATTTTGTAAAAAATAGAGGTAAACAATGTTAAATCTAACATAAAACCAAATTTTCTTGCCAGTTTTTAAAATTTATTAAAATTTTATTTAATGGCCCAAAAGTAGACATTGTTTACATGGCGTAATTGTAGAATGTAAAATTTACATGATGTAAATAACTAAAATTTTAAAAATTCTTTCATTAGCATTAATGTATTTATTGAATTTTTGAAAAAGTTAGATATTTTCAATTGTTTACATTAGGTAAATAATGTGTAAACAATGTAATAAGTATGTAAAGAATAGGTAAACAATGTAAAAAATTGGAATTTAAAATGAAATTTACAATTTTTATAAGAGTTTTAATAATTTAAGAATATTTAAGTTTGTTACACAAAAATTTACATTGTTTACCTAATGTAAATTACCAAATGTAAAATTTACATAGTGTAAAATTTTAAAAAAAATATTTTTTTTAATAAAAATAGTTTTAAAGAACATATGAAGCAAATAAAATTTTTATATATTTTATACCATGTAAAGTACAGGTAAACAATGTAATAATTTCCATTAAATAAGAATTTTTCAATAAATTCCTAAAGTTTAAGAAGATTTTGTTTTGCCGAGTCCAAAAATGTACCTTATTTACATCAAGTAATTTGACACATACAAAGTTTACACTAAGTAAACTAATATAAAAGAAATTATTCTCTTAAAATGTTTCATAATTTATATAAATATGTTTCATAATTTATATAAATATTCATAAAATAACAAACATTTTATATGGTTTACCTCATGTAAACAATGTCAAAAATTTGTGTAAACAATTTAAAATGTATTTATTTAAAATATATTCCACATATTTAGAAAGTTTACTTAGTTTACGTGATGTAAAAATTGATTTGAAAATATAATTTTCTTAAAAAAAAATTATTTAAAATATTTCAAAATTCCTTTTTAATGAAATTTATTCCCTATTTTATACATAAATATGTATATAAAGTAATTAAATAAAAAAACAAGTATAATTTGAAAAAAAAAATATTTGACATTGTTCCCTTTTCTCTAAAGCTTTAGAAAGGTGTAAAAATTGAACTCTATAAACCAGCTGCTGTTGGTTGCTACTTGTACATTTAATCAATAATAAATAATTTATTAAATCATTTCAAATAATATTTAGTATAGAAAATTTTTAATTGTTAAAAGCTCTAATTATTAACTATGGTTTAATACTAACCTGGGTTTGTGTTAAGCCCAGACTCGCTGCTAATTCAGCACGTTCTGGCAAGGCCAAGTATTGTGTACGCTGGAAACGACGATTTAATTGTTGCAATTGCAGTGAACTATAGATGGTACGTGGTTTACGCATTTTCTTGCCTTTACCATTCACTCGTAATCCCGAGTCCTCACATTTATCCGATATGGAAAAATCTGTAAAATCATTGGTTGAAAAAGAGAAAGAAAAGGAGGAAAAAAATAAAAAGAACAAAAATAACAAATGGTTTAAATTTGAACAAAATTTTAAGTTAATTATAGAAAATATTTGTCTAGGAGTATTTTTTAATATTTTATTCAAAATGTCTAAATAATTACAAGTCTAAGTTTTATCTTTAATTTTTATTTTCATTTTTTTTTTTCTTAAATATATACCGGCTCTTTTTTTCTTGTTATTTTACCCTTAATAAAACTTTTTTTGCTGCTTTTGTATAAATTTATCAAAACTATAATTAAGTTTTGAGAAAGACACAGACAAAAAAAACGACCACATTTTTATTATTTATGACTATTTTTTTTTTCACTTGGTCAGCTTGACATTCAATGTTTTATGTGTTGCATTTTCAAACACATACATATACACAGAGATATACATAAATTAATTTAAAAATGAAAGCATCCAACTTTACAGGTTGGTTAGACTGTAAAAGCTTTAATTTTGAAATGAAAACATCAGACGTTAAAACTACAAATGTTAAGAATTACTTAATCGATGTGTAATTTGTATAAATGAAAGCTTTTCTTAAGCTTAAAGCTTAATTCTAGTTCAAAGCTTTTTTAAGCTAGAACATTTTTTAAGCTTAAAAGATAGATGGATAGTTTTTATAAATGAAAGCTTTTTTAAGCTTAAAGCTTAATTCTAGTTCAAAGCTTTAATAAGCTAGAACATTTTTTAAGCTTAAAAGATAGATGGATAACTTTTATAAATGAAAGCTTTTTTAAGCTTAAATGTTAATAATAGTTCAAAGCTTTTATAAGCTTGAAACATTTTTAAGCTTAAAAGGTAGATGGATAGTTTTTATAAATGAAAGCTTTTTTAAGCATAAATGTTAATCATAGTTCAAAGCTTTTATGAACTTGAAACATTTTTAAGCTTAAAAGATAGATGGATAGTTTTTATAAATAAAAGCTTTTTTAAGCTTAAATGTTAACAATAGTTCAAAGCTTTTATAAGCTTGAAACATTTTTAAGCTTAAAAGATAGATGGATAGTTTTTATAAATGAAAGCTTTTTAAGCTTAAAACTTAAATCTAGTTCAATGCTTTTTTAAGCTTGAAAGTTTTTTAAGCTTAACGAATTTATTTAAGCTTAAAGCTTTATTTTAGCTTAAAGCTTTATTTATGCTTAAAGCTTTATTTAAGCTTAAAGCTTTATTTTAGCTTAAAGCTTTATTTATGCTTAAAGCTTTATTTAAGCTTAAAGCTTTATTTTAGCTGAAAGCTTTATTTAAGCTTTTTTAATCTCTTTTAGAGCTTTATTGGAGCTTTTAAGCTTTTTCAACTTATATAAGTTTTGTTTAGTTTAAAGCTTTATTTATGTTTGAAGTGTTTTTAAGATAAAAGCTTTTTTACAGCTCAAAAGCATTATTTTGCTTTAACCTAAAAGCTTTATTTAAGTTAAAAGCTTAAAAGCTTTATTTTAGCTGAAAGCTTTATTTAAGCTTTTTTATCTCTTTTAGAGCTTTATTGGAACTTTTAAGCTTTTTATGTTTTTTTTAAGTTTTACAGCTTAAAAGCACTTTTTTTAATTTAACCTAAAATTATTAATTTAACCTAAAAGCTTTATTTAACTTAAAAGCTTTATTTTTAATCTAAAAGCTTTATATAAACTTAAATGTTTATTTAAGCTCAATGTTTTATTTAACTCAAAGCATTTTGAAGCAAAAGCTTTAACTACGCTTAAAAATTAAAAGCTTTATTCAAGCTTAAAGCCTTATTTAACTCAAGACATTTTTAAGCAGAACGTTTTTTAAGATCAAAGCTTTATTTAACTTTAAATCATTATTTAGCTTAAAAGTTTTCAACTTTAAGAAGCTTTTAATTAGCTAAAAGTTCGAATTAAACTTAATGTTTTACTTCAGCTTAAAGCTTGCATAGCTTTAAATATACGTAAAAAAAGCTTTAATAAACTGGCTTTTGAATAAAACTTTTAATTTCATCATAAAACTTAAAGCTTTCTTAAAAATGTATTTTTCATACAAACTTAAAGAAATAAACGAAGAAGCTTACATCTTTATTTAAGTTAAAACCATTTTTAAAGGCAAAAGCTTTATTTAAGCTTAAAAGCTTTCACCTATAAAAGGCATCAATTTAGCATTACATTCGAATTATGCTTAAAGTGATCTTTCGGCTTAAAGCTAGAATATATTAAAAGCTTTAGCTATGCTTCAACCACTAAAAGCTTTAAACTTTAATAAGCTGCGTTTTAAATTAAACATCGAAATTTACCCTAAAGCTTTGAACTTTTTTTCAAAAATTTAATTTTCATACAAACAAAGCTTCAACTTTAATAAGCAGAGTTTAAAATAAAATAGAAATGAAAATAAAAACTTTCAAAAAAATAAAAAGCTTTAAACTTTAATATACTGACTTTTGAGTGAAACTTTTAATTTCATCATAAAGCTTAAAGCTTTCTTCAAAATGTCTTTTTCATGCAAACTTAAAAAAATCAAAAGAAGAAGCTTAAAGCTTTATTCGAGCAAAAAGCATTTCTATAGGCAAAAGCTTTATTTAAGCTTAAAAGCTTTCACCTATAAAAGCCATCAATTTAGCTTAACATTCGAATTGTGCTTAAAGTGGGCTTTCGGCTTATAGCTTGAATATATTAAAAGCTTTAGTTATGCTTCAACCACCAAAAGCTTTAAACTTTAATAAGCTGCGTTTTAAATTAAACATCGAAATTTACCATAAAGCTTTGAACTTTTTTTCAAAAATTTAATTTTCGTACAAACAAAGCTTCAACTTTAAAATAACACAGAAATTAAAATAAAAACTTTCAAAAGCTTTAATGCTTCCTTTCGCCTTAATAACATTTTACCAAAACCTTAAAACTTTCATTAAAATTTCCTATTCATACGAAATCAATGAAAACAAAAGCTTTCACCCTTTAACGTATTACCTTTCAGCTTAATTACCAACTTTACCTAAAAAATGAACTTTAATTTAGAACATAAACATTGCTATTTAAAGCTTTAACTACAAAACAACTGATAAAATAAAATCTATATTGAAAATGAAAACATTTGTCTACTATTACACTTACATAACCAATCCTTATATCATACATTTTTTTACACCAAATATGTATGATTATATATTCAAAGGCATGCATATGTATAAAACTGTCTGTATATATACTCGATTCACTATACATTTCTATGATCCTCTTATATAGAGAAGGCAAAGCAGTAGTTAGTATACAAAAACAACAAAAAGAACTAAAAGAATGGTGGCAATTAATTACAACGCCAAATGAAAACTTAATTACAGCAATTACAATTACCTACCAGACACTCAATTCACATACAGACAAATATACATACATACAGACATACATATGTATGTATACATACGTTTGTATACACATGTGTTTACATATGTCGATTACAATTTAAATGTATGTATTTAATGTAAATTATAAATGATATTGAAAAATATAGAGTAAATAACTAGATTTATCTAAAGTTTATAAAAATTATTGTGATTTTTTGTTTGTTTTTGGTCAAAGTTTAAATTTAAATTTTAAATCAAATAAATATGGCATTTAAAAGCTTTTCTTATATCAAACATTAAAACAAAAATGAAAAGCTTGAATGAAAATCTTATTTTCAATTTAATATCAAATTTCTAAAAGCTTAACTCTTTAAATATCGTTCCCTTGACTTTCTAACTTTTACAAAAAGCTCTTTTTTTTGAGAATTTTTTTTTATTTCATAATTTGTTTGAAATACATACCCGTTATATCTCTAGTATATTTTGACCAGTCATTCTTTGTATATTGCGCTAATTGTAGTCTAAATTCTGTTGGGCTGTAGTTAGAAACTTTTCGGTTGTTATATGGAGATTCATCTAGAAATTGTAAAGGGTTTTGTGTTTGAATATTGTTTGTTTTTTTGAATTGTTTGTGGTTAAAAGCAAATTGCATGCAGCAATAAAAGAAATTTAAGAGATTACAAAAAAAGGAAAATTTTAAATAAATATATTTAGAAAAATTCAACTTGAAAGCTACAACCCAACATTAAAGCGTAATAGAATTTAAATGCGTTAAAAGCTTAGCTTTTAAATGATTAAAAAATAGGAACTAGTTTAAAACTAATAGACTAACTGTTAAAAACCTAATGAAATATATGAAAAGCTTTTAATTGGCTTAAGCTTTAAAGAAACTTAAAGCTTTAGTTAAGCTAAAAGCTCCAATATTTTAATTAAGCTAAACACGTTTGTAAAGCTTAAAGATAAAGCCGTTATTAAGATTAAAACTGTAATAATGCTTAAAAGTTTTATAAAGCTTTATTAACACTTAAAGCTGTAACAAACGTTAAAAGACTTTAATAAAGCTAAAAGTTTTAATAAAGCTAAAATCTTTAATAAATCTAAAAGCTTAAATAAAGCTAAAAGCTTTAATAAAGCTAAAAGCTTTAAAAAGCTAAAAACTTCAATAAATCTAAAAGCTTTAATAAATCTAACAGCTTTAATAAACCTAAAAGCTTTAATAAAGCTAAAAGCTTACTTAAAGCTTAAAGCTTATTTAAAGCTTATTTAAAGCTTAAAGCTCTTATAAAGCTTAAAGCTTCAATTAAGCTTAAATCTTTAATAAAGATAAAAGCTTTTATAAAACTTACAGCTTTCATAAAGCTTAAACCTTTCATAAGGCTTAAGAATTTCATAAACTTTAAAGCTTTCTTAAAGCTAAAAGTTTTAATAATACTTAAAGCTTTCATAATACTTTTACAAATATTAAAGTGCTCATACGACTCATAAGCTTTAAGCTCTAATAAAACTTAAACATTTAAAAAAGTTTTAAGTTTCATAAAACTTGTAACTTGTAAAACTTGTAAAGCTTAAGTAAAAGCTTAGTTTAAACTTATAGCTTATAACAAGACGTTAAAGCTTTAATACAACTAACAGCTTTCAGCAGTTTTAAGCTTCTAACTTCTACTCAAAAATATGTTTATGTTAATTGGTAAAATCTAACGGCTTTCAGCAATACAATTAAAAGCTTCAACAGATGTTGTAATTTGAACTCAAAAAGCTTTAAGTAAAAGCTTCGTTTAAGCTTTAAGAACTCATTAAAGCTTTAATATAATTATGTCTATATAAGAGCTTTCAGTCTGAACATATTTGAAAAATGTTGGAATATCATTTTAGCTTTGAAGCTTTAAGCTGCAAACTTTTGCATAAAACTTTATCTGCTAAATGATTAGAAAATTTTAAAAGCTTTGAGTGAAACAATTAAAAACTGTAGAAGTTGTTGCAAACGTTTACAAAAAACATTATCTGCAAAATTATTAGAAAATTTTAAAAACTTTCAGTGATATAATTAAGAACTTTACAAGTTGTTGCAGTTTGAAATCAAAAAGCTTAATGTATTCTCCATTTAAATCATCTTTAAAACTTAAAGTAAATGTTCTTAAACTGATTTCTTTTAAAAGCTCGATACTTTTACTACAAATTTGTAGAGCTTTAAGCTTTCTTTAAAGTTAATAAAAGTAATTTGGTGGCCTCCGGTAGGTTAGTGGTTAGTGTTCTAGTCTGGTAGACCGGAGGTGGTGGGTTCGATTCCCACCTGAGGCACTGGTTAAGGAGCGCACAACAGGACCGATAGAGGCCTAGGTGTATTTCTTCGGATTTGATGTATATACATCTTCCTTTCAAACTAACTAACTAATAAAACTCATTTAGCCCCTTGTTATGACTCATATTTAAAGCTTTAAGCTTTTATAATAATTTAAAGCCTTAGGCTTTTATCATTTAGTTTTCAAAGAGAAATAAGCTTTTGTAATAATGTTTAAGGCTTAAAAAGCTCTACAAGTTATTGCCATATAAACTCAAATAGCTTCACGTTTTCCTTATATAAATCATCTACTAAACTTAATTTTAATGTTTTAAACGGATTGTTTTTAAAGTTTTTTGCTTGTATTACAGATTTTATAAAGCTTTAAGCTTATATAAACTCAAAAAGCTTAAAGTTTTCCATATATAAATGATCTATGAAACTTAATTTTAAAGTTTTAAACGAATTGTTTTAAAAGCTCATAAATTTCATTACAGAATTTATAAAGCTTTAAGCTTTCTTTAAACTTAATAAAGCGTATTTTACACCCTTTTCCATTACTCATCTTCTTGCTGATGACATAATTAAATGATTTTTATTCTGTTTAGTACTTCTCTCTAAAATAAATTTATATTTGTGTCGAAAACTTTCTGCTTCAGTGGTTTTAGATTTTGCAAAAAAACAAAACAAAAATTCAAATAAAAATCCCAAAACTTTTTATACAAAAAAATCTTTCCCGTTTATAGATGTGACGGTTCACATGCTTGACAAATACAAAGCTTTAACCTTGATGCTAAACAAAGTACTTGAATACAAATTCAAATTGATATTGTTTTTTTTTATTTGTTTATTATATTTGCAATAGAAATCACTCTTTTCTATGCATTTCAATACAATTGTATGGAATTTCAGATATAAAACAAAAAAAACTGACAATAAAAAACTCAATTTTTGCACTGATTTTAAATTTTATTTCTAAGTATAGATTTTTTGAGATTTTTTTTTTTTTTCAAAATGTAATAAAAACACATTTCAAGTTGACATGACATTTAAAACGTCAATAGAGAATTAATGAATTGTTTTAATGCATAAATAAATAACAAAAAAATTTTGTAGGTGTTTTTATATTTGAATATTTATGTTTTTTGTTTAGCGAAAAAAACATCATGTTTACACCGACACTTGTCAGTGATAAAAACGCTACTTTAATTTCGTTGTAAGAATATGATGTCAAAGTTACGACATTTACAACTATTTGCAAGCATTAGGGGTAAGCACAGTTTGTGCTTGAAAAAGTATTCAAAAAATTCAACTTTTTATCCTTAATGCTTTTTCTTCCATTAAATCAAGGGTTAACCAGAGTGTTTTAATCATTTATACAAACCGCTCAGCAGGGAGTTGTCAACACAAATGAGTGGGTTTTTATTTTTTGTGTTTAATATTGTGTTAAAGACCAATTACTAACACACAATATTGTGTTTAAAA